AAAATGGTTTTATGGCCAATCAGAGCGCGCGTACTGTTTGAATTATTTTATAATTACCAGTATTTCTCATCTGGTCTGAAAATGGCGGTATCCAGAGAAAAATGACCGCGTTATGACTCCTCCCCTACGGTCACACTTACCCCTCCCCTGTCTCTCCTTCCTAGTGACACTTACCAGTAATTCTCATTGACCCTGCAGAGGCTGGTATCCCGAGCAATATCACTGTATGAGGGCCTGCCTTTGGAGGTAGAGACAAACACGTTGGGTACGGCTCAAATTCAACCCCTTCAACACAAAGAATCTGCAAGGGGAGAGAATTACAAAAGGATTTGTGTTAGCAAGTCACAAAGCTCGTGAATCAGTGAATCAATAAATTTATCAATCACCATATTTATTACCTCCTTTAAAAAGACCATAAAATGAAGGTAGGTTAAGAATCATTTAAGTGGTTCTTTCCATTTTCAAACATGAATCAGACTTTTATACCGAACATGTTTTTGGAAAAAATGGTGAGTTCCTTAAGCAGGAATGTAAAATCAACTTTTTCCATCAAAAAATTCAAAGATCAATTCTCCACACTTTCTGAAATATCTAACGACTAAAGCCCGTCAAGTTTTTCGATAACCCCTCAACTCCGATGAGTTATCAAGACAGACTTTCTTATAACAACATCAATACAAAATCAAGCAGACAATGGCCGAGAATAAAGAAAAATACCAATGGATTATTACTTGATCCAATACCACATTCTCTAAACTAACATCATAAGACTTGTATGGCATACAGTAAGGGGAATTGCTAAGAAATCTCGGCAGTGAAAGGGTTAACTCAAATACGCTAAGCCATTACATTACAGTTTTATGCTATACCATCTGAGAGACTCTTAATTCACATGGCATAGGATTGTAGACATCCAACGAAACTTGACCGATGTCCCCGCACACCCAAGTTGTAACTGCAGAGAAGAAATGCCCAATATATGAATCTTACACTCTAACATACTCATTAATACACCTGACAACACAATTAATAATAAATATAACAGTGATAATTGTAATAACGATTGTTATTTTTATCGTCTTCTCCCCTTAAGCTGCTATACATTTCTTCATAAACTGATTATGAGAATTTGGTGTTAGATCAAGATAACAACTTCTACCTGATAAGTTTGAGTTCTCTCATTACTTTTTTGCTGGATAATGTACAAGTAATGACAGTTAGCCAAGCCTAAAAGCGGAGCTCTTGTCAGTTTATTTTCCAGCCCTTCATTATAATAAAAAAATGCAATAAATCTCTTCAGCACTGGCTGTAGAAGAGTTTCTTCAAGGGTATGTAGGGACCAGTCCAGGGTGTGGGGAGGCGGGGGGGTGGGGGAGAACTGACGAGGCCCGGAACCTGGGGACGATGTGATCAACTCGGATGCTAGTCAGCGGTATCTTCAAACAGGTATAATGATAACTTCTGTAATAATAATGATAACAACACCACCAAGAAAAACGACACCAACAACAACAACAACTACAACAATAACAACATCAACATCATAATGACACCACCAACAACAACAACTCCACCAGAACCAACACCTACACTAACACCAGTAACAACAACAACTACAACATCATAACAGCAACAACAACACCCACAACAATCACAAAATTAACATCATAACGACACCAACAACAATACTACCAGTACCGACACCAAAACCAGTAACAACATCGACAACAATAACAACAACAACAGAAACAACAACAATAACAACAACAGCAACAATAACAACATCAACAATATAACACCACCACCACCAACAACAACAAAAACACGAAGTCTCACTTTTGCCTTTCTTTGATTGTTTAACTTTTCCTCTTAGAGATGAGAATATAAACGGTCCTGCTGATTCCGAGTCAGACGCTACAACTGATTTATTTCCAACAGGTTTCATGTGTGGAGGAAGAGGTTGAACTTTAAACGATCTGAAGTAAAGGAATGGAATAATTAAGAGGTAGAATTCATTGAGCATCGTATCAACGTGGTACTTTTTTTCTTTTCCTTTTGTGGAACAAAATAATTTTCCTTGCTTTTCTTATTTGAAAAGACAGCTTACTAATTCCAATAAAAGTTACTGCATATTGCTTTCATGTCGCACAAACCTCTTACCAACTGAGTTCGAGCTCCGTACTGTAAGTTAAGAACCGAGTGTTTTTCCGCGCGGCTTCAAGGTAGAAGCGCCAAACGCGCGGGCCTTAAATCCGTGCCAAAAAAACGAGGATCCGTAAATTATGGCGTGGACCGAGAAAATGATGTAAGTACGATATTCATTATGTCTCTGGGTTCAAATACAGAGCAAAGATTTCAATTCAAACAAACTTGTGAGTTTGGCGGGCCGTGCAGTAAGCACGGCCAACTAAATTAACCAATCATGTACTAATTGAGAGACGCATTGAAGCTGCTCAAAAGTTGTTCATCTTTGCTCACCTAACAAGAGGCATTTTAGTAAGGGGTATCAAAGCCATGTCTAAGGCATCAATTTTCTGCCCATCTGTTTCCTTGGGCGACTTGGGAGATCTAGGTGATCCGGTACACTGCTTGGCTGTACTCTCCAACAGTAAACATAACTCTTTCATTTCGTCGTCACTCAAATGGTCATGCATTGTGTGCAGTAAAAATGTGATATGCCTGAAAAGAAGCCATTTAATGGAGACATCGTCAGCATCTCTTCACACAGGCGGCCTCCGCCTATGACATGTAACAAACCTAAACCTTGACTCTTGATTTCGAGCAGAACTCTGTCACAAAGACGCTATTTGTAGAGATTTAAAAGGGAACTACACTGTCTTTTCTCTCTGTCATTAAAAATGTCAGATATATACATATTTTTAATTTAACTGACTTGTCTTTACGTAGTTCTTGTCGTTTGGTAGTGTATTAGACCTTTTTCAGCGGTTTCGGCGAGTATGCGTGGCTGGGTAGCTTTAGTGTTAGCGGAACATCAAATCGCGCTAATCAACTCACCTATGCCACCTCTAAATGGGCGGAGCGCACATTTCGCAAACGGACTGAAACGATGGCACAAAAGAACGAGTACCACAAAACGATAAGCTGAGTCAATTATTCACAAAACACCGCAATTCATTGAAAAAAAAAACCGTTGCGGCTCCGCACAAATTTGTCTTCTTCACAGCCATCGTTTGGAGGAGGAATGAAGGCGTTGCGTGACGTGACCAATCAACATCTGCTAAAGAGACTACACACATGTACAAACATTTGCTAACGGCGTTTACGTCACACAACACCGCACGTAAGCTAAGGTTACGCCCACGTTAACGTAAGCCAGGCTCCCGGTTAGCGCAAAAGCATGCGCGCGAAAAACAGCGGCAGTTCAACCATTCCTCTGGCAACCCCAACCGCTGTTCATCGCTATCACGCTCCTTCCCTCGTCTAGTAGTCTAGACCAAGCTGTGCTCATGTTTCTTGTACTTACCTAAACGTCCCGAAAGGATCTCCTAGCCGGCGAGCAGTGTAAATAAGCTCATTAAGAAGCCTGATTTGGAGAGCTGGCCAACCATTTGTAGCACCTTTATTCAAAAACAAGTAACAGCTAAGAATAACATACCTGTATCATTGTGTCAAATTTTTTGAGTTAACTCTTTCCAAAAACTGAAAGTGTTATTTTTTGCGGAACAAGACTGCAAGAGTACCACACTACACAATGCTCGTGCAACTTTCAGTACAAGACAACATACCTGTGGCAACATCTTTTTGATCGAGAGAAATTCTGTACCCCTCCAGTGCACTCATGAGAAATTTGTAAGACTGTATAGAGGAAAAAAAAATCCTTTGATTTTTTTAAGATTCAACTTTCAATATACACTGTTGTGCTGGACCGGTATCGCAAAGGTCATGGGTTCAAATCCCGTACGGGCCTGAATTTTTTCAGGTCCTATTTTCAACTACTAGTTCAGTGGTGTTCTTAGCTGCAAGGACCTCTTAAATTAGTTTCTTCACCGCTGTGCAAATATCTGAATTTCACATATCTAAAATCATTATTCATCACTGTTGACATAATCGTAATTGAAAGGGGTAAAAAGTCCCTGGTGACTCTTTATAAACTGTTAAATAAATTAGTCTTCAATCAAAATTTATAAGAACAACAGAATTTTCACTCAAGAGTGAGGCCAACAAGGCTTATTTGCACGCAAACAAAATAATTCGTAGTTATTGACTGAGTGGGAGGGCCGAACGGGAAAATACTTGGCTCGAGGTCATGACGTACGCAAGGTCTATGCGTCATGAACGAGAGCCAAATAATTATTTTCCCATCTGGCCCTCCCACGCAGTCAATAATCATTTTTTCATATGAACACTGAGTAAGTTTTGAAAAATTCGAAAAAATTGTTGTGACTTAAATGTGATGCGATAGACTGGCGCGTGCTGGAAAACCACAAAAAAAAATCTACAATGAAAACAGTTTGTTAATTGTTTTGAGTTAGAACACGAAGCTCGCGATTCATCGAAAAACGTGACTTATTTTATTTTTTTTTTTACTGCTCTCACTCATTTTTGGCGACAACAGCAAACATGTTTCCTCTTTTTTTTCGGCAACAAAGACGTACAAGTGCACTAGACAGCCTTTCTACGGACCGGCTCATGTCAACCCGTCGAGACTTGCATATGTTGGCTTTCAGTATGTTATGTTTATGGGATTGCACGAGTGGGGCCGTACAGGTCATAGGAAATAATTATTTACACCATTTATAAACGAGGTGCGAGTAAAAAAATAAAAGTTATAATGTAAAAGCAATAGACTTTACATGCACTTTCTATCAGTTAACCTTTTAACTTCTCGAAGTGATTAAAATGTAACTTCTCCCCATAATATCCATACATTATCCAGCAAAAAGGTAATGAGAGAACTCAAACTTATCAGGTAGAAGTTGTAATCTTGATCTAACACCAAATTCTCAGAATTAATTTATGAAGAAATGTGTAGCAGTTGAAGGGGAGAATTAACAATCAGATCTTGGGAGTTAATCCCCAAGAAATATTAGGAGAATACAAGAAAATTTGCATTGCTTTTACAAACCCTTTACACCCTAACACACCGTAACATCAGTATGCATATTCTCCATACAGCACTCTATACATTTCCTAAGGTGCTGACAAGGAGAAGATACTGGTCAGTCTTTGGCGTTAAAGGGTTAAATGATCTCTTGTGGGTTACTAAGCTAGAAGACCAGTAAAACTTTTGTTAATTGCCGAAATTGAATAATATTAATAGAATGATGTTTCCTTACATAGAGCCACAGAGGATGTGGCATTAGTTGTGAAACACACTGCATGGCTGCAATTCGACTGAAAAATCCAGCCTTGCGTTGAAATCCCAGCTCATCATATAACACTGCTGCAGCACTGTACCGCTGGATCTAAATGTTGATAAAAAAAATCTTTATTTTCACAAACAATAAAAAAGATTGTACAGTGTAATCACCAAAGAAGATGTGAATATCATTGTTACTAGAAACATGGAAAATTCAAGTGGCGTAACTTCCCAAGTTTTCCATACCACCTACTAACTCTGAGTACAGTGTTACTGTCAGTTTTGTAGATTTCTTACCTTTTCTTGTTCTGTCAGTGAAACAGTTACTGAAAGGGAATTCTGCAGTGCCACACTGGCATCAATCCGTCTCTGTAGAAAATCAAAGTCAACTGTTTTATCTAAGATTTCAAAAATCAGTTTGATATGTGGCCTTTGGAACATTTCTCAACTCTAGATCTCAGAATTTGGTTTGAGATCATTAGATATCCTCTAGTTGATCATTTCCTTACTTCTCATAACCTTTCTACATGTTAATATATTGATATTGTGTGGAGAATTTCATTTCTGGTCACTCCCGAGAGTGGATGTATTAGCAGTAAACTCATCAACAACAACCTTGCACAAAGGTGGTATAAGCCTTCAAGCATGCTCCCAGTAACCCTGCTCAACGACCGTAAGGCTTGTGAGATTCAAGGTGGTGTGATGGCCAAGAAGGCTGTGGCACTCCTAACAAAATTTGCCGACTCACTCTGTTCACTGCTTTACAAGGGTTGAAAGGAATGAAAAAAAGAAAAGTCTGCACTTGAGTCAGGCAACCCATCCAGCCAGAGCTAACCCTAGTTTCCATAGCATGAAGCAACTAAGAGTATCATAACCCCCCAGGATAGGATGCTTCTTCATCACAAGGCTTCCCTAACAATTCACCAGCAGCCACTTACACTCCTAGGTGGGGAGAGGCATTGGGTGTTTTGCCCCAGAACACAACACAGTGACATGGCCAGGTCTTGAGCCCAGACCTCTCAACTATGTTCAGTGCTCTAAACACCAAGCCACTGCATTTCCCACAAAAGAAACACGTGAATGAATTAAAATAACCCTGTCAATTCCTGGTTTTTCCATGTACAGCTGACAATTGAATAAACTTACACCACACAACTGTACCTTATAAGTGATTAAAAGCCTTGTAAACTTAAGATTAGCTTCTGTTTCCACAACAGCAGCACCTTTGACCTACAAATAAAAAATGTGAAACTGGATTTATCTTTAAATATTTCAGTTTTCAAGCAGAGACAAAATGAGAAGAAAAAAACAATTACTCAATGGATATTGTTGAAAATACAAGTAACACAAATTTCTCAGAGACATAATGGAGTTGTCTAAGTTTGATACGAAGGCCTCATTTTATGAGATGTGCGAGACTAACTTTAACTATATGGTGACACTCAAATATAAGAGGGCCAGAAACAAAACCATGTTATTATTAGAACTGGGTCAAAGGTGCAGGACTATGCACTGAGAAAGAGCTTCTTATGGATCTGACTTCATTTAGCATCTAACCTGTAAAGGAGGACTAAATTTCAGGCTTGCATCGAATTACCAAATACATATCAAGATCACTAAGACAGAGGAAGCTCACTCATCAATAAGATAGAGTGTGCACTCATGCCAAGTGGCAGCAAAGACTCCGGTGCTTGTCCCAGTTAACGCAGCATGAATCCAATAGGAGTATTGCTACTCCACCATGGATAGGATGCCAGTCCACCCCCTCCTGTGTCAACAGATTTCTCTTAAGTTTGCCAAAACCCACTCACATGTATACTCCTGGATAGAGAGAGGCACTGTGAAAATGAAGCTTTTTGCCCAAGAACACAACACAATGACTTGGTCTCAAAATGCAATCTCTGAACCCTTTACACCCTAACATCAGTATACAATTTCTCCCTACTGTTCTCTATACATTTCCTATGGTACTAACAAAGAGAATTTGTTTAACAATCAATAGCTTCTCAAGTTGAAGATCATTTCCTTTATTCTCATGACCTTGATGTTTGTTTTAGAGGTGATACTGATGGGAGAAAATAGTTACTAATCACTCTTAGAGGTCAAAGGGTTTACCCAGGGTCCTTTGCACTAACCATTTGAATACCACGTACATTGTGTATCCCATGCAGAAAGTACCTCAGATGAGTTGTAACTAGTACTGTCTGAATAATTTGCTTTTATCAACTGAATGAAAATGTAAATTGACCAACGGAAAGAGTTTTTGAAGCTAATATTTTGAGCATTAGTCCTTCACTTTGAAGCTTCTATAATACCCCTAACTGACTTGCCATTTTTTTTTAGAAAATTACCCCTTTTATTCATTTCTTAGCCCTTAACCCCTAAGAGTGACAAGCATCTAGTTTCTCCTTGCCATATCACCACTGAATCACATGTTAATGTTATGAGAATAGAATAAATGATCACCAACTTGAGAAACCTTGATTGTAAGACAAATTCTCCTTGTCAGCACCTTGGTAAATATACAGAGAACAGTATGGAGAGTATGAATACTTACTCTGTTATAGAGTCTCAGTGCTTCTGAGAGCCTTTCTACAATCTCGTCTTCACTGAGTGCTTGTGGATTCCTAAATTTTGATTCATCTACATCACCTCCTAAACCATTCATTGTTAAATTCATGGAATTCGCTGCACATTCAATTGGTAAAATCAATGAATTCCTGTCCTTTTCTGTAGCAGTTCTGGTCAGTAGTAGTGATGCTGCACATTGTCCCTCCAATGCACCAGCAAGCCATAGAAGATCATTGACGACTCTTAAATGTTCTCCAGCAATAAGGTATTGAGAGAGAGCTTCTTGTGGCAAACCAGCCAACATACACAAATCTCCAGTGTATTTTTTGGACCTTCCAATAGTTTTTCTTTTGCTTGTCCTGAAAGATTAATTCAAATAACGTTGCTAAATGTTTACAAAGTATGCCCTTTTTGACAAGAAACTACATATACTAAGTACTGAACAAACAGTCAATTGGTTGCTTGTTACAGTGTAAGTCAATAAATTTATCAATCATTGATCAATCAATACATAGATTAAGCAATCACTGAGTCATACACTTACTGTGTACAATGCCAGTGCAGTCAGTCAGTCAGTCTGTCAGTCAATTAGCTTGACAGAAATTCAATCAGTTGCAGATGGTCAGACAGTTGGTTATTCAGTTTGTCAGTCAGTCATTCAGTCAGTTGGTCATTTTGTCAGTCAGTCAATCATTCATTCACTCAGTCAGTCATTTAGAAAGTCAGTCATTTAGTCAGCAATAGTCAGTCAATCTGTCAGTCAGTCATTCAGTCAGTCAATCAGTCAATTATTCAAGAAAGTGAATTAGACATCCAATGGATCAAGCAGATAATACACAGATTGACAGGTAAACAGATGGATAGATGAATGGACCAAAGGATAGACAGATGGGGAGAGAGAAAAACAGACCAATGGATAGATAGACATACAGGCAGACAGACAGCCAGAGAGACAAACAGACAGGCAGAGGGCTATCCAGTTGACTCATCCGTTGGAAAGTACTTGATGAGCACCGTTATGAGATCATTACTGTGGCTGCAGATATACTGGATGAACAGTGAGTAGGTTCAATTGTAGGTTGTTATTATGCTGTTTCTTTCAATCAGCATGAATCAACCTTGGAGAGCTGTCAGCCACTTAGTCAGAACTTCAACCATTAAAGAGCCATGGAGTATAAACACCCCTAACTAAATGAACTTAAGTTCAAGGTCTGTACCAAGGGCTCCCAGAAATCCGACTGTACAGAGCAGACTCAGAAAACAAGGTTAGTAATACATTTATTACCTCTCTGAGTTCAACTACAGGAGGAAGCGTCCAGTTTAAACAAACTTTGGAATTAAGCGATACAGTGAAATACAGCCTGCTAAATTTACCAATCATGACACAGATAAGTGCTAACTGAGAGACATAATAAAGAACAAGATGGCCCATTGACCGGTAAAATTTCCGCACAGCCCCATACTACAGTATGCATTCAGTTCTTGGATAGAGAAAACAGTGACAAAAACAATACATTGCCATTGGGAAAACAGATTTGTTTTACAATAGTAAAGGACTGTGCGGAAATTTTACCCCATTGACCTCTAAATTCTAAGACCCATTCATTCTTACCTGCTGTCATTCTCTCCTCCAAAGACTTCATGCTCTACCGGCGCCTGTATCAGGGTTATTTTATCAATCTTCTCTGACAGTTTACTGATCCTCTTCGATTCCAATACGTTGAACAAAGAAGCTACAAATTCTGCGAGGTTACTTTGAAGGTCTCCGGAATGATCTTCACCTCTGATAAGTGCGAAATCTTTCCTGATCTTTGATTCGTCGTTGGACTGGCAGCCAAAGACGAAACATCTTGTGTTCAAAAGTATTGCACTAAAAGGATTTTTAATTTCATTTATCGCTTTTTCAAGCTTTTCTACCTCTGAAATCTCGGTGCACCATCCAACACAAATAAGCCCCAAGACTCGTTTGTGAAAATGAAAATTTCCCCATTCGGTGAATTGAGGACTGACCCTTTTCGAGTACCGAAGGTTTAGTGTCCTGATAGTGTTCGGTACCTGTGCGGTACGATACGTGGAAATTTCGTCGAAAATTGCTTTGAATCGTTTATCACCGATGTATCCCACAGGCTGAACAAGTATTAAGACCCCGCTATGGTCTAATAAGCTTTGGCCGAAGTCTATTCTCAGCATACTACAGGAAAATGCACCGCATATTTGATTCCAAGAAGTGAGAAGTCAGTACTTGTCCGCCATCTTGCGAATGCGCAATTAGTTTTCTGAGTTGGATAGAGTGCGCATAATTTGAAAATGTGTCCCGCTGTCTGACCTCTGATCTTGTTGAAGCCTTGCGAGGAATCAAAGAAGATTTTCTTATTCTATCCATAAATTTTGATTTTTTTCCACCCCCAACTCTGAAAGATCTACTTTACTGGCTAACTTTTTATGATTGGACATCGTCTTTTACAATATTCTCTTTCTATGCGGAATTTTTCGTAAGTCACGCAATAGCCTCGTGATGTAACGCAAAGTCTTCGTCTTTCGCGACATTTCTGAGAAATTTCGTGTACTTCGGACTTTAAACTTACAACAGACAAGCTAAAACAGGATTCATCCCATACTCTTAGGATTTAAAGATATTGTCTCAGCTCATCTGTTCAAATCCATCATAAAATATCCGGACAAAGAATTATTTTAGGAAAAAAGTTCATATGTGGACGTTTGTGGCCTGGGAACTTTAGCAAGCTTCACCTCTATCGCGAAATCTACCGAGATGGAATTTCTGTCAGGTGTATTCCATTTAGGATGTGGAATTTATTATATTTGCGGCACTTATTGGGACTTTCAAATTGTGACACCTCATGTAAACACCTATGGAGGAAGATGGAAGTTTCTAACATTTTTGAATTTGGTAAGAAACGTTTTATATTTTGGCACAGTTGTAATATTTACACTGACCTTCATGGAACCGGCAGAAGCATGCATGATTTTAAATGTTAATAGAATTACCTTTCGTTCATAGATTTAATTATACCGTGATCACCTATAAAATCTTTGGTTCCAACTATTTAAGCCATCTTCAACTCTAATACCAATGAAATAACTTGTTGTGGTGGTTCTGTATTGTATCAGTTTCTAGCCATTTCTTACGGATTTCGTAATTGGAAAAAAGCCGGGTACACAATATCTTTGAAGTTTGAACGATTTTAAGAAGATAGGTTTTTAACAAATGAACACTAAAGGAATTCCTAAGCTATGGCAAAATAATTTCTTTAAAATTAACTCATCGCTAGTAAGATTACATGTTGGACGGATTATTTTTTGTACAATTCTTTTTTAAATTGATCCCGAGTAGCACATATAATCATGAACCGATTACGTAATCCTTAATTTTAGGAATTACACCATTAGAATTTAATTACCCCATGCTAAATTTGAAATAGGAATTTGATGTTTTTGTTTTGGCACTGAAACAAAACACATTTCACATAATTTTGGCTAGTGGCTCAGCCAAGACAGTTATCACGTTTAAATTATGGTAGCTTTTGAATGACATGCTTGAATATAAGACTGTAAGGAGTACAGGGAGCCTAAATATACTGTGAATGATTTTGGGGTTTAAAGGTCATTTACTAAAATGCTAATTATTAAGACTGAATTTTAATTGTAAGCCTGTGCTGTAGAAAAGAAACATATTTTTAGAAAAATTGAAAAAGTTGAAATGATAAAAAGGCCAGTCTCCATAGCTTCACTCCACAGCCGCCTTGTCTCTTCTGGCTGTCTTTAACATTACTTCGTCAACTTTCTTTGTGCCAGGTATTATGGACCATAAAATGGAGAAGGCAGGCTACTTGAACTAGTCCAAAGCACCGACAGTCGCCTCTCCAAGGCCAATAAATTCCACAAAAGTCAACTGATTTCCCTCAAATTGCCACCAGCGAGAGTAAATAGTAAATAATAACCTGTTAGAGCACAAAATGTTCCAATTTCTGTCCTTGTTAGCACAAAGGTGCTCCACAGGCAAACCAGACAGTGGTAAGAGGTCTTATTAGACCACAGGTGACCAGGATGCTCAAGTGAAATGCTCTGTTGAACAGTACTGGTAAATAAAAAAGTAGACTGTCTCAGAATTCTGTCCAGCTACAAAAATGAAATCTTTCAAATCAGTGCTCATATTGGGCTGCCAAATTACTAAAAACATCTGGCAATTTTGTTATTTCAGATTATTCAACTGTTGTACTTCATCATAGCACCACTGGGTGATGTTGTTACTCTCCTTAGTGGACGGAAAGATAACTGGCTTGTTAAACTCCGGGATTTATTGTTTTCAACTCTAGCTTTTCCTCTTGGTGTGGTAAGTGTTTTAATTAACTTTTATTTATTAATTTATTTATTATGTATTATTTATTATGTATTATGTATTATTTATTATGTATTATGTATTATTTATTATGTGTTATTTATTATTATTATTTATTATTTATTCATTATTAATTAATTAATTAATTGTTTTCATCTCTAGCTTTTCCTCTTGGTGTGGTAAGTGTTTTAATTAACTTTTATTTCCATTTAAAGGGAATTAAATCCTTGTCATCCATTCTGGAAGGTTTCTTTTAGTTAAATAAATTATTATTATGACTATTATTATTATAATTATTTTTATCAATCATCATAAATGTTATAATTGTTATTGTTATTATTGTCTACTTATAATATTTCTGTTGCAGTAAATTTGTCCTATTAACAAAATTATTAGATTATAAGTAATTTGTGAATGCTTATGTAATAATTTTTACGTTTAACATGCAACCCACCTAGAATAGCACTCAAGCTAACTGTGGGCACATGAAAAATTGCAAATACAGATCCAAGTAATAAAATGTATGTATGTAAAAAAAAAAAAAATGCAGTGTTTATAGGAGCTTGAATCAGCATTATGTTGCTAATGACATATATATCTATGCTTAAAAATTTAAAGAAATTGTTTTACAAATGTTTCTTATGTTCAATTGTTTTTCTATTCCAGTTTGTTGCAGCTACCTTTTGGGGTATATACCTAATGGACAGAGAGCTCATCTTTCCTCGTGCATTGGATAAGATATTCCCCTCATGGCTCAATCATATTTTGGTATGATGTCTGAGTTCTCCTTTGAATAACTGCAATATTTTCATTGCAGTATCTCTAATTAGCAGACGCCAGAAGCCCATAAGTAACTGTATGCTGTGCTCCAAGCTCAGCTTTAACCCTTAAAAGTTTAAACCTAATAGAGACCAGCATCTAAATTCTCCTCACATTATTGTTCCAGAATTAAACATTGATGTCATGAGAAGTAATGATTGATATCACCAACCAATAAAACTCCTGATTTTAAAACAAATTCTCCCTTTCCACACCATACAAAATGTATAGAAACCAGAATTGAGATTATTTAATTATTGTGATGTTAGGGTGTAGAGGGTCAGTCAAAACTGCATCAAGAATTCCAGAATCATGAAATGGCTGCGAGAAACAAAATTTAAGTTGCCAAAAAATAATTGATCAAAACAAACAAACAAATCTACAACTGTTGTCTTTCATTGGCATTGTAAATTATAATGATAATAATATTAAATTTCAGATCATTGCTAAAATCGAAAGCTAATAATCTAAGCTTTTGAAAATCAAAGGCATACCAGGATATGAAAATAGTCCACAGGGAGCTTTATACATATAAATTTAAAGTAGAAATGTGAGAAAAATAATGTAAATACAAATTTGATTGAAATTAGTAATTAAGTGATCTCTTTGTCCTGTGGCACAAAAAAAAATTTTAGCATTTTTGGAATCAATTTTCAAAATGTTAGGTTACTCTTTGAAATCTTTAAAGTGGTCATAATCCTATTTTCAAATTATAGTACTTTCTTTTGGTGAAGAAAAACATCAAATGATTTCAGTGGTCATAATCCTATTTTCAAATTATAGTACTTTCTATTGGTGAAGAGAAACATCAAATGATTTCAGGAGCATACATGTACTATTCCTGCAAAAGACTGTATTACACACATATTAATAAGTAATCCCTTGTGTTTCTTTTTAGCATACCTGGTGTGCTATTCTTATCATATTAGAAGCTGCATTCATCAAACACAAGTATCCAAAGAATCGTGTAGGTTTGGGTGTGTTAGCTGTTTTTACAGCGATTTATCTTTCTTGGTAGGTTAAAAAATTTTATTTTGTTCCTAAAAGACTTAAAGATCAGTTCACCTTACTGTCTGTCAAAAATTTGTTATAATCTCAGCTGTGAGAATTTGCTGTAAGTCCTCTGAATTACCTATGAGTGACCAGCTGCTAATTTCTTCTTACAATATCATCCCTGGATCAAACATTGAGGTCAGGAGAATAAAGGAAATGATCACCAAGTGAAGAAGCCTGTGATTGTTTAACAAATTCTCCTTGTCAGCACCTTAGGAAATGTATAGACAACAGTATGGAGAAAATACATTCTAAGGTTAGAATGTAGAGAGGAAAAAGTGGGTTCAAAGTAGAATTTGTTATGGTAATAGGACCAAGTTGGGTTTAATTTGTTAGTCACAATTGTACCCATGATTTGTTGAATGTGCATACGATTACAGACATTATCATAACTATTTCAATTTCCTCAAATGTGATTGGTGCATTAGCTGTTTTACTTTTCACTAACCATTCTGTATGGTTGTAATCAGACAATTGGCTGTAATTGGACAGTTGAAGCAGCCAATCATACTAAGTCCACTCAGCTAAATCTACCAATCACAGAATTGGCCACAATAACCAAATCACAGCCACGTCCTTGAAAAAAAAAAAAAACGGAATTTCCAAAATGGAGAAATATTTACTTTAGACACTGTCTCTAAGGGAGATGTCTGAATGTCTGTTCTAAATGAATTTGTTTTATTTTCAGAAATTGTAATGGTTATGATTAATTGGTAACAGGACTTTGTGTCATCCAATTCTGTCTGTAATCATACTTGTGATTGAGATATCAGACTCCTGCTTCACGTTTGTCTGATTTTGTTAATCACTCGTATGATTGCAGACCAAATTGGACTCTGGCACTCAGTCCTATTACCATTATGAATTGAATGACACAAATTCTATTACCATTCAATCAACACTGTAACAAAATTTGAAAAACAAAATACTAGTCTATGAAAATCAATTCGTGAATCAAAACTAACAGTTGACTCTTTGGGAGAAAAGGAACCACATATTCCAGGCACATAGGTGTATTGCAAAAACTCTCTAGTTGGTGCACAAATCAGACTGCTTGGAACAAATCCCATTGGCATTTTGTTTTAGTATCTGTACCATGTGCACATGTATTTGTATTAGCCACAGCCTTTTCCTGCCTTGTTAGTAATAATAATTAATTAATAATTAATTAATTAATTAATTAATAATTAATAATAATTGGGTTGATTCAAATATCCTTGATTAGTAATCATGAGTAATCATTATTGATTATTATGAATTATTATTAAATGTTTTGTATCATTAATAAATAACAAATTTATCGATATATTTTGATAGGATATCGTGGATTGCTTATGCAGCAGACTTTTGGGTTTATCCATTCCTTCGTCTAATGCCTAATTCTGGCAAAGTAGCATTTTTTACGTTAGCAAGCTGTTTAAGCGCCTTCCTGTATCTCTTGGGAAAATGGATGACTTTGTTCATATGGGGAGGTGAGGTAAAGCCTGTGAGCAGGTGTTCATTGTCAGCGCCGTGACACCAGCGTTTCTTCGCCAGCGGAAAAGTTGGAGTCGTTGAACAAAACAATACGGAGGAGGTCTGCGAGGGGGCTGGCACTAATTACGTGACTTGCAGAGCGCTCCCCAGCTCGCCCCAGACTTTCTCGCGGGCGAAAAAGCGCTCGTGTCGCGGCGCTGATAATAATGAGTTATTAATGAAGTTAGATACACACAGAGCTGGAATTTTTAAATTTATGAAATTTGGTGAGAATTTTTTAGAGCTCCCGTTATCGTGGGACAGTTAATTTGGATTAATCTGAACCGGTGGCCTACCGTAGAAATAAAGTGACATTTTCAAATGTCGCTGGCGTTGTCTAAAAGCTTCATTAGACTTTTCGGATCAATATTAGTATCTAGGCAACTGCCCTCCTACCCCTCCCCTAACTCAGCAACAGTCAATTGTAGGTTAGGGGAGGGGTAGGTGGACAGTTGCCCAGATACTGATATTGATCCGACTTTTCTATACTACATACTTTATTATACTATTATGCTAATATTATTACAGTATCAGGCTACTTCAACTGTGTTGTGTTTTTGTTGTTGTTGTAGGCAACGGAGAGAAGAAGTCTACAAATAATTCGACTCTAAAGGAAGGAACAAAAAAGAGAGTAAAGAAGGCAGATTAGAATCCAATACTCATCAGCCTGCGTGGAGAACCTCGTTTTCAATGCTGCTGTACAAATGTTTCTTCGCCCGCGGGAAGGTATGATGCCTTGAGCCACGCCAGACCGTGAAAGAACCGCAAGGGGTCTAGCACTAAGTAGTGTCAGTCCCCCGGCAAACCTCTCCCCGACTCGTCTCAAATCTTCCCGTTGACGGAGAAACTTGCGTCTTGCAGCACTGATATTACGGGTCTGATGCAGGCTAATGCTTATGTTACAGTGATTGTTTTGTCTATCAAAACTTGCAGCTCTGGTATAATTTTTTTGTTTAAAATCTAAATGAAGAAAACGGGCAGTTTGATCGTGTTACACTTTTTAAATAGGTTATTATGAAGAAAACATGCATATCGTTCCTTCCGCTATGTCAGATATCCTCTCTCGAGGACTAGGTTCGAGATTGTGATTTCAGCGTCATATCTCGCGTTATTATACGTGATCTATTGGGGTAAACTTTTGTCCTCGTCATGGATCGTTCTTTACGAGAACTTGCCACTAGATCTGTTCCCTTGCAGTACCATGGATGAACCATTTATCTTAACAGAAGACTTTGAACTTCGTAATCTCCACTTTCGTGAATTGTGCAGAAAAACGACTTAAATGCTGTAATTTGTCTTTGTCAAATATTTAAGTATGATTCACGAAAGACCTTTTGTCGAAACTAAATCAAGTAAGAAGTCGTATTCAGAGCTGGTATGATTGTTTTTATGAAGATAAGTTTTGTTTGTTTACCCACCTGTATTTCTTTAATGTAAATCATCGACTCCAATGCAAGTAAATCATCGTAACAAACCCTCAATTGTAGCAAAAGAACAGAAAATTTTCAGCATTTCTTTGATGTGACGTGTGTGTGTTTTTGCCGTCGATTATATTACATGCGCCTAGAGCAAATGGCTTACAAGAAAATTTCCGCATCGTAGAATGATGCTTACAAACGAAAAACCCAACACGGCATAAAAAAACTAAAGCGTGACTTTGCAAAATAACCCTAAATTCTTCAACATTTTGTTGATCCCACAAAGAATCGTGAATTACAAAACACTGCTTAAGTAGGGTATTTAAACACAATAATATTTTCCCGGGGACGGGAATTTTTGAAGGTTCAAATGCACCGGAGGGATGTTAAAGCTTCGAGTTGATCGATCGAAGAATTACATGCTAATGTATTCACTTTAGCAAAACGATATTAATTTTAGACTTAAATGTGGTGACACGTCAGTTATTGTTTTTTTTTCCTGGTTTTCTAAGCAACTTTTGTTAATGTTGTATTTCGCACTGTGGCCAAATTAATCCCCATAATGAACGGTTGGAAATATTAGCGGTTGAAGCTTTGTTTAGAAGCTTATCATACAGGCTTCCTTAACGATCTTTAGGAAAATAACAAAACGGCGGGCAACGAAGCGTGGAACCAGGAATATTGAGCAATTATTTGTAATTGAAATTTTAAATTCAGGAAGATTTATTGCATTGTTGCCAGTCACTCTAACTCGAGCTTGGCAGGAATCGAAATGTTTGCCGTATTGACGAAATATTTGGCCGGTTTCGATGTTGAGTGATCACGAATTGGATCAAGGAACAAAAGGTGACATCCTAGTAAGTGGAAATGACGAGCTTCATGCATGCGATCTGCGTTTGTTCGGCGACACTGGCTGGAATATTGTCTTTACTGGCTATGGTTGCTAATGGTATGCTACTTTACGTCATGTACAAGGATCCCTTACGCTGCTTTCGTAAACCAATTTCAGTTCTCATCGCTGCCCTGGCCGCAAACGACTTATTGACTGGATCTGTTATAAGCGGTCTTCACATACGTAACGAAATATCTTGTGAAATTCATGCGGATGAAACGACGACCCGCACGAGTTTTGAAAGTATCATCGGTCTATTTGCTATCAACAACGGCACGTTTCTTGTCATGAGCTTGTCCGTGGAACGTTTGATCGCCGTGGCCCTACCGTTTTACTACCGTGCGACGGCGAGCGGTAGAAAAACCTTGGCATGTGCACTATGCGTTGTGGCATATTCCGTGGCTTTCTGTTTGCTTCGATTCACTGGAATTCCACAGGGAATTTACGACATGTTGCAAGTTCATTTGAATATGAGTTTTCCACTCGTGGCTGTTATTATTTTTAACTTCTTATTGCTAAAAGTTTTACGTGGGTACAGACGGCGTGCGTGCTCTATGAACTCTGACGCTAGCGACAGTGCGGTCTCAGCAAACGAAAAAAGATTCGATATTGATAAACAGTTCGCTTTTACAGCCATTCTCATAGTTCTTTTCCTCTTTATTTCACATTTGCCATATTATATAATTACTCTTGTAGAGGTACACTGTACTCATTGTGAAGGGATATGGCTCGTTTCGTGTCGGCGAATCTTGTTACCATTTCTCTATATCAACGCCGCCTGTAATCCATTTACCTACACGTTTCGCATTCGCCAATGCCGTCGGTCTCTCAAACTTCTCTTTTTTAAATGGCAAGAAACGATTGAGGTTTCTCCGAGAGCTCCAGCGACACCAGACTCTACAAGAAGTCCAATCGCTCTACGAAAGATTTCACAGATATGTCCGAAAACTGGTAAAATTGTTGAAACGTTCGGGGATAGACACATAGCTGACGATTTTGATTTGGGAATTGAAAATCCACAAGAGATCACGGATGATTTTGACTCTGATGTCTGGGATACTAAACTGTGATAACTAAATTAATTTTGTTATTAAAGCCTGGGTTTACCTTAGTCCCTTTGCATCGACACGAAATGATGCATTCAGGGATCGAAAATCATTCGCCCACGAGTAGACTCTTTCTGGCGCTATGAAGTCAGCGGATTTCGAGGCAGCGAGTGATTTGAGCGTGAGAGAGGTTTGCACGCTCGCCTCACTCTTGTGAGCTTCGCCGCATGCATCGCGGCTTAAATGAAAATTTGCACGCAGGCTACGCAGGCTCGCTTAACGATGGAACCTGTCATTTCCAAGATCTTCCTGATCATCTCAAACAAACCAAAAAAAAAGAGAAAATGAAAAATAATTATGATAATCGCATAAAAAAATTAGTAAAGAATTAAAAACAGACAAAAA